TATTATTATCCTTTTTTTTATTATTTAATCTTTTTATTATTTCAACTATACAGTACTTTATATATAATCTATGTAAATATTAGAGCTGTTAATCAATCCAGTTCAGACTGATAGTCCTTCAATCCATCCAAAGACCGAAGTGATCTAAATTTTTTAGGAGGATTATATAGTCCTATTATACAAAAATTAAAAATTTTCTTTATTTGAGTTAAGCCAATCATATATGCAATATTGTACTATATTATATATTAGCAGATTTGTGGAATGAGCTGTAGCTCTGATTAAATTTGCAGATTATTTGGTCAGCTTTGAAGTTTTTCGAATTCAAAGCTAGCTAAATGATCTGTAAATTTGACCAGAGCTATAGCTTATAGGTTTTTCTATTTATCAAATTACATAAATCTACTGATATGATTATTTGATCATAATTGTTTGTAATATAAATTAGATATAATTGGAGGTTTTGGTACAATAAATCTGTAGCCAATATTAACAGTAAATCTGGCTAACACTAACTTTAAATCAGGTCTAAAATGTCTGTTGGTGAAAAGGTTGTCAGGAAATCAACCAAATACCATTTAAATAATACATAATATATTAATTAGATAGTTAATTTTAGTGATCCCTCAGAACAATTTATATAAGTTAATTAATATAGTAACCAGTTCTTCCGATCTGACTCTAATCAGTCCTAAAACTACAGTATGATCTGGTTTAACTTAAAAACCAGTGATCTTTGGATCAGACCAGACCAGATAGACCAATTAACTGCCCTAGCAAGCAGTGATGCTATGGTAAAAAAAATTAGAGGGTAACTTAGTAAATTGACGATTTGGCCAAGATTTTATCACGATTCCTAATAAGGATTTGTTAACATTCCGTTAAGATTAGTAATTAAAATTTTGTTATTGTCACAAAAAAGTAATAAATTACAGTATAGGAAAGTTCCAAATTTTATTAATTAAAAGCAGCCAAAAAATCAATTTTTATTTAATATATTTTTGCAAAATTACAAAAAAAAAAGCAAAAAAAAAAAAATAATAATAATAAAATAAAAAAAAACTATCTTAAAGCAACTCAGTACCCCTTTAAATGTTAAAGTTATAACGACTTAAATCAATTGACATTGTAACATTCCAATTACTAAGGGTTAAAACATTCAAATTAATAGTGTATAAATCATTATTTAAATTAAAAAACACTGCTTAAGCATCTTTCAAATTATAAAAATTTATTGCCTATATTCTAGCACGCACTACATCAGTTAGCAATTTTTCAAAATTATTGGAGATGGTAGAATCATCACGAATAGCTGGAATATTAATATTAACAAGGAACTGTTGCCACACTTTTTGAATATCCCTTGCCGTTATTGTAGCAAATATTTTATCGATCTCATTACTAGATAATAATATTAGTAATAAAAATATAAATAAATAAATAAATAAATAAAATAAATAAATAAAATAATAATAATAATAATTATTTTACCTTTTCACCCTTTTTTGCAAATCTTTGAATGATGCATTAATTCTGATCCAAAGAACATGCTGCCACTCAATAAAGGTCAAACAAAATTTTGATGCCACTTCATTAAAATTTTGTTCACCTATTTCTGGAACTAAGATTCTAAGGAACTTTTTAATAACCTCATTTGTTTTGGAGTCGTTGAGATTTCTACATCGAATAAATAATGCATGCAGTTCATTTCTAAACAGTTTGTTAATCTATTTCGGGAATTCCTTAATTTGTAATTCGCCAGAAATGGAAAGATCTACATATCAATTTTATAAGAATAATTCAGGATAATTAATATATAAAAATTTATATATGTTTAGAATCTCTAGTCAGAATCTTGTTGAACTTAAAATATGTCTAAAAGACCCTATTTAAGTGTAAAACTTATTTCTCTTGGTCAAATAATACCAAATATACATTATGGCACTAATTCTCATTATTGGTGGAGAGTAAAAAATGATAGTTTAATTGAAGAAGGTATTTTTCTTTATCCTGTTCGAATTGGTTGGCAAACTCTTTTTGAGCAAAATAATAAACGTTTTTATATGCATATTACAGAAGGGCATAAACACAATGAAATAGAACCAGGATATCGATGTCAAACTGGTAGTAATTATAGTAGTATCGAAATAACTTCGAGTTTAGCAGTTATAAGCTTGTATCAAAAACTTTTTCCAAGCTCAAAAACTAAATTTTCTGGTCCATATGTATTAGGGTGGGATGATGATGAGTTATTAGAATTATCTTTAGAAAGTATTCAATTTCGCCCATTTGCTTTTAAAGTCAAAAAATATTTGGTTTATATAACTAGTTTAGGAATTGGAAATAATATAAATATGATGAGAGCTGGTATCGGATTTATGTCATCTTTTTTTGGTGAATTTAAAAAGAAACGTACATTATTTGTACAAACAATTGAAAAAGATAATTGTCAAGTTGCAATTTACCCATTAGAAAATGACCCAATTTTATTTTTAGGAAAAACACCAAATGATGTTTAGAAAAATGTTGGCTTATATAAAAAATTTCGTGGAACGCAATTATTTGGACTTGAACATTCATTAACCCAAAAAATTATCAGTAATCAATATATACCAACTTGTATTGCAATTGCATGGAATAATGAAATTGTGATGAATAGTATGTATAATTATTATTTGCGAAAAAAAACAATTTCAAATATAAACTGGCAAAACTTTTTCTATAAATGGTTAACGCAGTAAAGCCCAATTATTGAATTGCGCAAAAAATTACAACAATTATACCCACCTCAATATGTACTTAGTGAACGTGAATTATGTGCTTGGAGAACTATGCTGAAAGCGAGTGGATGTACAAATATTTCACCCTTTGAAAAAGGCCAATCAGAAGTAAATTCATAATACAAGTGACTCTTGATATAAGAAAGCTACTGTGTCTAGACAAAATCTTTCTTATATTGAAAGCTTTTGTTAAAAATTTTCAATTAGGACTAGTAAAATATTTCTTAGTGCTTCGATCTGCAATCTGACTAATTCAAATTGATTCAATAATTCAGATTAAATGCAGATATCCTTATCCATCAATCTGAATTAGTCGAATTGCAATCGAAGCACTTAGAAATTGAATAGAATTTGTGAAATTATGAAATTAGTAAATGAGAAATAAAAATAGTGAAATTGTAAAATTAAAAATGGCGAAATTGTAAAATTAGTAAAATTAATTTCACATCTGCTATTTTTACTATTTCACTAATTTTACTAATTTTACCAATACCAATTGGTAAAATAGTGAAATTATTTTACCACCCAAGATTAATTTTACCAGCATCTTCAATTGTGAGTTCCTTAGGTCGAAAGTTTTCTTATATCAAGAGTTTCTTATTGAAAGTCACTTACATAGTAAAATTCTAAAAATAAACTAAAAAAATTTTTATTTATTTTAGTATGAATTTTGGTCACGGAGCTCTACATCAAATATAGATCAAAATACTTTGCAACTTTTATATAATAGTGGATTTATTCATACTACACCTAATTATGTAATTGATATTAGTAATAAATTTTGGAAATGTTTTCAAAAATCTCTAAATAATAACAAAAATAGAATAGATGTAAAAATTCGAATTCTTTCAATAATCGCTAATGAATTTAGTTATGACGAACTTCAGAAAAATTTTAAAGTATAAAATTAGCTTACATTCATATTAGCTGATTTGGTTTTTGGTCCCTTTTAAATAAATATTACACAGAAGTTTAACTCTTAGTTGACATCGAAAAGTAACAAACAAAAGTACATCACATTTAATAAGAGTTTTCTAATACCTATAAGCGATAAAAAGCAAATAAAATAAATGCAACAGCTATACTAAGCTATAAAAAGAAGAACTATCACTTATTGTTGAGACATTCAAGTATTTAATATACTTGAATGATCAGTTAAATAATGTCAAGAATGAATTCGGAAAAATTTAAGAAAATAACTTTTTAAACTTACTTTTGACCTATAATTAAATATGTCATTTTTTATATATTTAATTCTAGATCCAAAGTAGGTTGAAAAGGTTGTTCTTTTGAAAATTCACTTTGCTAAACAAAATTTTGTCTGATACGATTGAATAATTTTGGGGTTAAATCAAATCAGCCTATGTATTAAAATTATATACTTACTTACTTTCTATTATTTAATAGGTTTCTTCTAAAACGATTGCTAAAGCTCGAGCTTATTGTAATATTAACGGTCCAGGAAGTTTAATGCATAATAAACCTACAATTACAAGAGTTCGCATTAGTGAAGAAAGTGAAAAACAGTTTGAATATTTTTTTTCTGATAAGAATATAGTAAATCTAAGTTCTTACAAAGTAGACAAATATGGATTACCATTGAAATATCTCAAAGACCAAAAAGAAACACTGTGACAAAAATATTTTGAATTATATCCAAATGGAATGAAAAGAACTACATTTTTAACACGGTTAAAAGATGGACCTTATTGTTATAAAAACGATCTAGGTGGTCTGTGTCTTACATGTGCTGAATATGGTTATAACGTATTTGATAACTTGAAAGAGCTGATTAATAAAAAAATTGAAAATAAAAATGAACAAGTATATATATCGTATCTGAAGTTTTTACCTACTCAACATTGTCTATAATCGCTATCATAGAAAAAAATAATAAATCTGTTATTACAATACTATACATGCAATAAGTGCTGTATCAGAAGCTTAAAATTTTAATTTGCAATTTTGGAACCCCAAAGGGGTTCCAAAGTGCTCATTTATTTTATGTTTGGTCTTAATTGTTCAATAATTCGGCTAGTACAGCCAGATTACTAATCAATTAAGATCATCCATAAAATACTCTACTTATTGCATGCGAAGCATATAATAACTATTTAGTATAATAATAAACTCAATAGATACTAACAATAAAATTATATTATTTTAGAATAAACTTATTGATAATCTTGAACTTGTACAAAGACATTTGAAACGTGAATATGAAAAAGAATTACAAGTAGATCCGTTCAGGTATACTCCACATGTTGAATGTCTTGAACATTGTCTTCAAAATGCATTTGGTTAATGCTTACAACCTCATAAATCTAATTGTAAAGAATATAATAAAGTATTAAAATTATTTGATTTATTAGTTGCTCGGATACCAGATAATATTGAACAAATTATTGAAAATTGAGCAAAATTGCAATATTATTGGTCATATCAAGCTCGCAAAATGTATCTAAATACACAATTTAATGCAAACTTACTAACCTTAGATAACGAAGGTGCTATTATTATTGTTGACTATAAAATGAAAATTTTACCAAAATCAGCACGTGAAGTTAAATCAGACTTCTATGGTAAATTAGGATAGTCTTTACATACAACCTTAGTATATACTAAACATGCAGATAATAATTTAGAGATTCATGCCTTTGATCATTGGTTATCCGATACGGTTCAGGATGCATAGTTCACTGCTTCAGCATTTGAAGTTGTTTTCAATAATCTTAACAAAAAACTATCCTGGATAAAAATTATATCAGATAATGGTGGCCATTATCATTGTGCTGAGTTAATGTCAATAATTGCAAATTAGAAATTATGGTACGATATTGAAGTATGTAGTTGGACCTTTTTGGAAGCAGGAGAAGCCAAAACAACTATTGATTCGCATCACGCTCAGGTAAGTGTAAAATAATATTACAAAATAACTTTTCGAATCTATTTACCTAAGGCGAATTCAAATATCTAATAGCAGATATTTGATTCAACTAATGTTGTAAGCTAACGTTTAAAATCTGGTTGGATATAACTCTAAAATTAAAGATATCATTTAGTAAAAAAAACTTCATATTTATAGAAAAAATTTTCATAAAGGTTAATTGCATAAACCAATTTTAGCAGTATCAAAACTTTAATATATTATAGTAAAATATAGTATAGATATATATACTAAACACATAAATAAATGTATTATATACATATCTAGAGACTTCAAGTATATATTTTTCATATTAAAAAAATCGAACCTTAAAGAGTAAAAATTTTGGATTTAAAAAAAAATTTAGCCTACAATATTAGCATAAGGTAATTCAGATTATATATGCTGTGCATCAGATTGAAATTTGTGGATCAAAATATAATTTTATAGTTTCATTAGAATTAAGATGAAAGCCTGAGTAGTAGAGTTGCCTGCTATAATTGTTTTTAACAGGTTGTAATATTACAACTTATATATCGTAATATTACAACTCATATGTCGTAATATTACAACTCATATGTCGTAATATTACAACTTATATATCGTAATAGTTGGAATTAATTACGGCAGCAACTCTAAAGAGTAGTTATTAGCAGGATTATAATAATTTTGGTCTAACGCAAATATTAATTTAGTGCACAACATATATATAATAATGAAATATAACCAATCTACCAGTATTAACTTTTAGATTGCACATGCTATCAAACGTTATATTCGGTTGGGCTATAATATAAATGAAGGAGATAATATAGTAAAAGCGATTAGTAATATTAAAGGCACAAGTGTTGCTAATATTCAACCAAATAGAAATTATAAGAACATCAAAAAGCCAAAGCTCACTGGAATATCAAATTGGTTTGAATTTAAGTGGCCAATAGATTGTGAGCTTACAGGTTTTATTTGCGCACGAGCTCTACCTCACTTCGGAACTTGGAACAACTTTTCACCTGTGGTTATTAGTAAATCAAGAGATGAGATTGAGCAACCCAAGCCAAGCCCTAAAGTATCAGACCATACGATTATAGATACACCTTGGGTAGTTTCTTTACCATCAAATAGTAAGCAATGATTAACATCACTTTGTTCAGTCAGAATAAATTATTGGTAGTAATATACTGTATAACAGCATATTATACCAATGATTTATATTGACTGAACAAATTTTGTAATATCGACATTAATGATCATACTATACGACAAAAAAAAAACTGATTGTTCATTATAGGCCCTGATCCAACCAGGTTGTCAATATCAGAGATCAAAAGAGAACTTGAGCAAAGAGGTTTGAGTTATAATACTGATGAGAATAAAACTAACTTGATTAGCCTATTAAAAGAGAATATTCAACAAGAAACATCAAATATGATAAAGGGTATAACAAAAAATTTTTTTTTATTTGTCATTTTGGTATATTCAGTTAATATTACATTGATCAATTTCTATTTGTAGAGATGAAAGATGCACATGAATTATGTATAGTGATCAATGATGAGGTAACAGAAGAATCAAAGAAACAAAAAGACAAAAAAAAAAAACAAATTCAGCAAGAAAAATCAGACAAAAATTATTTTTATTCAGGATGAGCTTTGAAAGAAAATCAAGAATATGGAAAAAAGGGAGGAGGCAAACACATGACAGAAACTGTAAAAGAAATATTGAAAAGCTTCTTTCATGCCAGTGACGAGGATAAAAGCGAGAGATATACAGCAAAAGAAATGCTTCAAGATCTGCAACAAAGGAAACAAATGGAAGAGTTAGAGGCTGAAGAGATTCCAAATCTTAAAACGATTGAGAACTAGATTAGTCGGTATTCGTCATTACGTAAAAAGGAGGTAGCAAAAAAAGCCAAAGCAGCTGTTTCAAGTCAAAAAAATGCCAAATAAAAAAAAAAAAAGGATTTTGTAGCTTATATACGTTGAATTATTTGACCTTTTGTCCATAGAAAGTATTACTCTTCTGTCTATTTTTTAACTCATAATTCCGAACCGGAATGAGAATAGCGTAAAAATGATCAAACGACATTGCTTTCTATTCTTATGATAAAATATATGAGTGGTATTGGTTCATAAACGTATTTATATAACTTTGGCTTTCACGTGAAAAAAGTGCAAATTTTTGTAACTTTAAAAGTTTGTGTTAAATAAATTTTTATATGTAATCTTAAAATTTTTGCCCCGATCTACATTATGCATTTTCTTTCCATTTCTGGCAAATCACGAATTAATATTAATAATATAAATTATTACTATGTTTAGTAATAAATACAAAACTAAAAAATAAAATAAAATAAAATAAAAATACAAAATGGGTTTATTCATAGCAAAACTATGCTTAGAGTATATATTTTATATATACTCTAAGCATAGTTTTGCTGTGAATGAACCCAAATAATAAAATAAAATAAAAGTTCATATTATTAGACCACACAAAATAAATTTTGCATTATATAGAATATAAACTTGGATAGTTAGTCAACTTTTTCTGGTGATAAGGCTAACTGGTATTATAAATAGAGTTATTTAATTGTCATGTGCCATAGTGCATAAAAAAAAAACTTATAAAATTATTTTTTAATAATTATAATATGTGACAATTAAACAATTTTCTTTATAACCTGAGTTGGTTTTATTACTATATAGTTGATATTATTGTAATTAAAACCAATTAAAAGAAAAAGATTATTATATGATTAGTTGTATAATAACCACTGAGTTGCCAGGACATCATGGTTCTTCCATTCTTAGTGAATGATGCAGGTATATCGTGAGCACATCGTGAAACTGATAGGAATTTTTTATTTTCAAAATAATCAGGAGGAAGGTTCAATCCGTCCTTGAGGATTCCTGCTTCAAAATCATCTCTTGGTTTGATCAGATATAGTAGAGAAGATGACTAATTACCTATCTCCTCAAAATAAAAATTCTCTAGTAAAGTTAGAGTCGATAACCAGAATCATCTGGTAGTATTCAGGAAAAGAATAGACATCATTGTGTCTACACTATTGTTAACCAAATCATTAGTCAGAAGACCAAATCAATTTTGTATTGCTGAGAGAGTTGTGGAGTGATCATTATGAAGGTGCGACTCCAAATAATTTAGTACTGTATTAAGATCTTAAACAAATTTATAGAAGAATAAATAAGATAAATTTATAGGTTGATATTAACTAACAGAAAATCAGATTCATAAATTGCAGTAATTATATAGAAACTATATTGTAACGATTTCATTATGATATAGTCGCTATATAATTACTGCAATTTATGAATCTGATTTTCTATATAAAAGTTAAATTTTTAATAAAATAGAAACCAGGAAGAACTGTTGGGCTTTGAATTGCATATGCTATAGGTTCAGATTCCAATTGATATTGTGGAAATACTACTAGCTGAGATTGAGATCGTTGATATTGTAGGTCAGATTGGATGGATCAGGATCGGAACTATCGAAGTTGTAGTTCAGGTTGGATGGAGAATTGAGATTGTTGTTGAACAGGTTGAGTAGAGGATGAGGATGAGGATAGTTCACTTTGGGAAATTTCTTTTCTTTTTTTTGAAGGCATATTTTTTGAAAAGAAATTTTGATTAGTAAAAATAAAAATTCTTCTTTTTATAAAAATAAATTTTTAGAAGTTTCGTCATTGCAAAAAAAGTTTATTTTAAGTAAGTCACAATTTTATCATGATTTTATCATACTCATAAAACTTCATTATAAAGAGAAGTATATAATATTTTTAACTAATTTAACTCAGAGTTTTTTTTCAATGACGAACGCCAGATAAAAATAATATATACTTTGATCATTAGATCAATAGTCTAAAAATCAAAATTTAATCGAATACCTCAAAATTATAGTGTGTTAAAAAAAGTCTTTGAACAACTTTGCAGAGTAATAACTTTATGATGACTGCGCCAAATCACATGACTAATAGCTCACGAAGTATTATAGATTTATTAATATGGGATACTAATTCCTATTTACTAGAAAAATGAGGTCTGTTGGATCTGAAGTGCTGTGTTAACGTGTGATTTAACTATGAAATATATTTTGTTAAATTTTCGGCCAGTTGGTATGTTTCTGCGAGAGAAAAGTTAACATTGTTTTAAAAGAATTTTTTTTTTATAATAAAAAGATTCTTTTCCATTTTCGTTACCCATTTTAAAATAAAAGTTATGAATATTTTACAAAAAAAAAAAAAAAAAAAAAAAAAAACACTTTATTTATCTCAAATTATTAACAAATTAACTTATTTTTTATTCAAAGATATTGATATTTATAAACTTTTATTCTTATTCAGAGATATTGATATAATAACAATCAAATGATTGTATTCTACCTGAGTTATAATTAGATGAGTTGGCTATTAAAATGTAATTTATTACATTACTTTATACGTAATAGACAACGAACATTATTATTATGCTTAACATTTATATTTATTATTATTAATTTGAATTTAATTCTTTTATTTAAAAAAGTTTACTTTGTTAATTTAGCATTAAATTAAATAAATGGTGTGGTCAGAAAACTATCAAGCGAAGGTTATTATTTTTAAATTGTAATAGATTGAGTCAGAAAACTATTAAGTGAAGGATATTTTTTTTTAAATTGTCATAGAAAACTATTAAGCAAAGTGAATTTTTTTTAAAATTGTAATAGATTGGGCCAGAAATGATCAGGCGAAGGTGATTTTTTTTATAAATTATAATAGAAAACTATCACATGAAGGTTATTATTTTTTAAATTGTAATAAATTAGTTAAATAATCACTTTTAATAAAATTATGTAATGCTGTTTGATCGTCATAAAATACTGTACGTAATTGTGTGCTTTACTCCATATTTGGCCTTGGGTGCTATAAGGGGCGAAGTTGCCTACCTCGATGCTGCACCTGGTCCGAAGGGTGATCATCAATTTTGAAAATTTCGAAAATTTTAGAAATTTTGACAATTTCGAAAATTTTGAGAATTGACTAAATTTTAGAAAATTAGGAAATTTGGAAAAATTAGAAAATTTTAGCAATTTCTAAATTTAGAAAATTTCACAAATTTATTTAATTTTGTAAATTTCAAAAATTTCATAAATTTATTTCATATGTAAAAAGAATATATATAAGTGCCTCAAGTTTGCTCGAATAAAAAAGTAACTCACAGAGTTCGAAAAATAAAACCTTCTGAGTCTTGAATAGTCTTGAAAAGAAGTATTTGTTTGTTTTTAAATACGTTTAAATTGTTATAAATCCTTTTTTTCTTGAATTGTTAGATTTTTCTGTCTTGTCTATGTGATATTTTCTTGTAAAATCCAGTTTCTAGTTAGAGTAAAAAGAATCCAAATTATTCTTTCGTATATTCTTTTATAGTCCTTAAACTGATCAAATAATTGATCAATTTTGCAATTGTTACGTAAATTTGACTCACAATAATTTTGTATTCCTGTGACAACCAAATCATGACCAAATCATGATCAGATCATTACTTACAATAAACATGACTAAGACAATCTATAGACTCAACTCCAATAATCTAAATACCTACCCAAGTAACTCTAACCTTGAACCAAGTTAATCTCTGCCTCTTTCAAGCCTTATCTAAGCTAGGGTTACTACTTAGTTGGATTTGTGGATTATCTCGATTTATTTGTATAGATTAGTTGGATTCGAACTCCTGTATAACAAAACTTCCAGACAAGTTCTAGCCTAGAACCAATTCTTACTTTTTCAGTGCGAAGCACCCAATAACTTATTATTACTAGATAGTTATTGAAAAATCAGAATTTTATTTACGTGGTTGAATGATCTGTGAGGTCGGGTTAACTACTAACTTAATTTAGTTAGAATAATGCTGTGAAGGGCTCCAGGGTACCAATCGACCTTTTTTTTCTATTATTTTTTTATTTTCTTTTATTATATATTATTATTATTTTCTTATTACTATTTTGTATTTAGCGAATAGTGTTATTGTTTTTAGTTAGTCTCTTACCTTATTAAGTAGGACTTAGAAGTTGGGATAATTTAGGGTAAAGATCGTCATATATGAATTCCTGAAATTCTTAGAATTCCCGCTATTCTCAAAATTCCCAGAAAAATAAGAATAATTAGAATAGCGAGAATAATGGCAATAACAAAAAAAATTCGAATAGTAAGAATAATTTAAATAACGAGAAAAATAAGAATTATAAGAATAACTAGAATAGCTAGAATAATAGTAATTCTCGTTAGTCCATTATATGTAAAGAAAATGTATATATACAATATGAAATTACCTTGAATAAAAACAACTCACAGAGTTCAAAAAGTAAAACCTTCTGAGTCTTGAATAATCTTGAAAAGAAGTGTTTATCTTCAACAAATTTCCCTTTAAAATTATTTCAAGTCATTTTATTAAATCATTAAAATTCTTTCTATCTTGTTCCTGTGATAATTTTTTTGTTAAATTCTGTCCCGGATTATTTTCTTGTTGTTATCAAGTTTCCCAGTTAAAGTAAAAGTACCCGAATTCTTATATCGCATACTCTTTTATATAGTATCTTTAAATTGATTAGACAATTGATCGATATCATAATTGTTAAATCGATCCACCAATAACTTTAAAACCCCGTGACATCTGAATTGTAATTCAATCATAACCAAATTGTGACCAACTCATAACCTAATTGTGACCTTCTGACAAACGTTACCAAGACAATCCATAGACCCAACTCTTATAACCAAATACTTACCCAAGTAACCCTAACCTTGGACCAAGTTAAATCCTCACCTCTTTCAAGCCTTATCCAAGCTAGGGTTATCTCTTAGTTGGATTTGTGGATTATCTTGGTTTATTTGTATAGATTAGTTGGATTTGAACCCCTGTATAATCAAAACTTTGGATGAGTTCTAGCCTAGAACCAATTCTCACTTTTTCAATGCTCTTAAACTAGTTAAATGTTGTAAAGGTCTTTGGAACTCTGACCTTACTAATTCAAAGCCACCAATCTTTTCTTTTTTATTTATTATTTTATTAGTATATATCTATCTGTTTTATCAAAATATATTTAGCTGTTCTCTTGTAGTAATTAACAAATATGTATGATAGTCTTACCTCGAAACCTGTAAAAGATCATCATTACTATAAATAGATCAAATCAATATTCAAGATGCCATTTATGATATATCAGACACATAGGGTATTTGTGACAGATCTGATACATATGACCTATCTGACAGATATGTTATATCTGACATATCGGACACATATTGGATATGTTCCAAATGTACATACTAGTATCGCAAAAAGTATAAAAGCGATACTAATAATTGACTAAAATACAAACTTCAATCACTATCTGATACGTAGTCCCATTGTTAAATCAATAACCAATCGGAACGAAATCCAGATCACGTGCCCCGTGATAAAAAGTAAAAGTATAAGAACCAAAAGATTAATTCTCGAAACAACTGGAATAAAAACCCAAGAATCAAACTACACTTACCTAAAGAAATCCGCTCTACAATCCTAAAATTTGGACCAAATCCTCCATGACCTTTTTCAGCCTACCAACTTAGGGTTGATTGTTGGATTTGTAGTGTTTGTTTTTTTGTTTATTAAAATATAAACCTTGGTGTGACATAACCTCCAGTCGAGTTCCATACCAGAACTGGTTTACACCTTTTCAATGTTAATTTGCCAATTGATGCTCAAAAAGTTAATTGAATATTTCACAGAT